AAGTAACGGTTTTGTGTTTTTGCTTTCGATACTACTGCCTGTTTCCGACAGCTTCATGCACTGGGATAGTATCTAGAGAGGCGCTATTAAAATCTATTTTGGCTATACAATGCGAAGTCAGGGGCGGAGCCAAGAATGACTCATGTTTGTCATATTGACATCAGTCTGGTTTAACTGTCATACTCTCTACATACTAGAAGCAGTAACACATGAAGATATTTTAGTATCTACAGCGGATCGTCTACAGTGCACCATCGGGGTGCAAAACACTATCTCCAGTAACGGGTATTATATAGGGTGATTCAAATTGGCTTTCCACATTAAAAGTATTTAAAAAAAAGAAGAAATTAAAAATTATAAAAAATTATGCATTTGTCCTTTCAGGGCAGTTCATTACAATTATGCTTGAAAGATGATATCAAGTAAATGACCGTCGCGGCTCATGTGGCATGACGTAATCCGTTTCGAGAAATTTTCGACTACTCCGTGGCACAAATCAGGTCCTATGTTGGTAATTTCGCGTATGATATCCTGTTTCAGCTCTGCAATTGTGTTCGGGTGATTCTTGTAGACTTTGCTCTTGAAATACCCTAAAGAAAATAATCTAAGGGAGTTAAATCACAGGATCGCGGCGCGGCCAATTGATATCACTGTTACGTGAAATTACGCGACCTGGAAACTTGCCTCTCGGTAGTTGTATCGTTTCTCCTGATGTGTGACCTAGGCTTCAATTCCTGTGTTATTTGGACTCTGTATGGGTGTAACTTCAAATCTTTTGTTAAAATCCGCTGTATAGTGGAATAAATAAGGTCCAGTTGCTGCGATCGATGACGAATCGAGGTTCTTGGATTTTCGGCCACACTTTGGATAACAATAGCAATATTGTGTTAGGAGCGACCTCTACGAGCACGCCTAGGGGTTTTGGTGTTAGCTAGTTAGCTACGGATTCAGTTTGCTCGAATTTTTGCACCAAATTCTAAAAAAAAAATTCACTTAAAGCACGAAATGTATTCTTCCTTGATCGGCCGTTTTCATTATAGGCTTGGATAATTTTAACACGTTGTTCGGTCGCATATTGCTTCAAGACTGTTTTGTTTATATTTTGACGTTAGAAATGGCTCGTTGTCGTTGACAAATTCAGTAGCGTTTCCAAAAAAAATGTATTTGTAATGTGGAAACTCAATTTGAATCACCCATTATAATAGATATAACTATAAAACATCAAAAAAAAAACAATAAAGTGTTACCTCTGAGACTAGGTAGTTTTTAGGATGCAAATAGCTCATTCCACGTTTGCTCGCTATGATCGCTGTGAGCATCCATCTATGGAGGAATGACTCAACTACTCGCATTGTTGTTTGCATATATTTTATGAAGCCGAGTAGTCTGTAGTTTTCATCTCTGAGGAAATGTGAAACAAAGAAAGTTAATTAAATAGCAGGATCGTATCTGGATGATTATGAGTATTGGTCTGCATGTGTATAAAATCAGTGATATTTGCTGTGTGAAAAAATTACTACTGGATTTGCTGCCAATGAAGTATATCTATTAGCTGAGCCCGATGGGTCATTTATATGTTGTCCTTTCTGAAGACAGGTTGTGTTCAAAATTACGATTTTTTCCGTTTTTTGTGTTTTCAAACACTTTTAGGAGTATTACGACAAATCGCCACCGCGCCCGCGTTGTCTGTTATTAAGCCACATCACAAAAAAATTAGTAATGACGTATCACACATCATACATTTTCGCAATGCCTCACATCTGGGCGCTGTTTTGTATTTTTTATTAACATCGCAAGATAAATCTATAAAATTCAAATGACTGGAAATGAAAATCAATCTAATAACCTTTTCATTTTCATAAATATTAATGTCTCTAGCATTTTTTTTCACCTGTTCCTTCACCAAACAGGGATTTTCTTTTCTTGCCACTCTTATTTTTGAAATTCAGCAAGAATCCGAGGCATTTATGATCAACACATATTATTATCACACAAATCCTCACTATGCACCTATGCATTGCCGATTCCTTCTAGCTATAGTATACATCTTACAGCTTAGACCTCCAGTAATACCTTCTCTGAAGCAAATTTTACATTACATCAGAACCAAACATTGATAACTAAAGCAGCATGGCGTTTAGGCAACACGTACAACAAAACGAGTTCACAAGTGTCCATCAGCTAGTGCTAAGTTATCATCTTGTGGAAAAACCTACATAATGTCACAAAAAACCAATACAACGTCAAAACGTAAGAAAAGATCGGCACTTGTCAAGATACGTAATACCTATGCGGATAAATTGTGCAACACATAAACGCGTGTCACTTTGGCAGATCGAATATGTTGTGCCATGTCCTCCAGGGATTCCAAATCAACAGCTGGGTTATTACGTATCTTGAAAAGTGGCATTATGTCGGTTTTTTCACATTATATAGATTTTTTTGGAGACGTTATGTAGGTTTTTCTACAAGGTGCGAGCTTAAAACTAGCTGTTGTAGACTTGATGTGCACTCGTTCTGTAGCTATACCTGTTGCGTAAACCTCATGACGCTTCATCTATCAATGTTTGGCTCCGATATGTCATTATTGGAGGTCTAAGCTGTAAGTTCTATGCTATAGCTGGAAGGAAATGGCAGTGCATAGGTGCATAGTGCGTTATAATCTGTGTCGATGATAATTCAAATGATTTCTTGTCTCAAATGCTCTCACTTGAGATGTATGCAAAGCTAGAAATTAGTTGCACATCCACTTTTTTCTTATTCATCCTGGAAATTGCACATGCAACTTTGCTGAATTTCAAAAATCAGAGATAAGAAAAGAAAATCCCTGATTAGTAAAGTACATTGCAACTAACAGGTGAGAAAATGTGCTACAGACAGGAATATTTATGAAACGTCTTTTAGGCCCGTATCGTCAGTCGTCCCTACAATTGTAGGGCGCGTTTATGGCCTCCTTGATTGTCATACTCCTTTCTCTCATTCAAAAATTTCTAGATTACACTTGTCCCGTGTCAGCGTCAGTGCTCTCCTATTGTGAAGATATGTTTTCTTTTCAAATTGTACTAAATTTCAGGCTGATAAAACATGATATAACTCAAAAGCAAGCACAATTTGATGCAAATAGATGTTTGTGACATAACCTCAGAATAGAGTTCTGACACGGAGAAGTAGAAAACTATGGCAATCAAGGAGGCCATAAAGGCGCCCTACAATTGTAGGGACGACTGACGATACGGGCCTTAAAGAAAGTAGGACTCGGCGCATCATTGCTCTTGACAAAAATTGGCAAAACGGCATATTATGGACTATTCATCCATATGTTGCGCTTACGGAGCGTGTGTTATTTGAACAGCATAGCACCTAGGACAAACAGCAACTGTCCGATTGCAAATTTTTCAAGTAATAAGCATACCTGTTCCCAGCTGCCATAGCAAGCACACAGGTACGAAGTTAATCTCTTTATACATCTGGTGTAGCAAGTCATCTCAGAAATAAGTAATTTGCAGCAGAACAGGTGTAAAGCCTACCGAGCTCGATCTGGTCGCTGCTCTTGTCCTTTCTTTCAAAGGTACTGAATTGTAACTTAAACCCTCCAAGAAGACATTCGAATACATCCTTTAAGGTTCCGAATATTAATGCTGTTAGTAGTTTTAGCGCTAATTAGTTTGAGCTTCCCATATAGATGCATTATATATTTTAGGTATACAGTATTTTATGTCGGACGAAACTCATTACTGTAGAATTTAATTCAGTTATATTTCGTAACAGCGTTATGCAAGAAGCTTCAGAGAATGTATGCTTTCAAGAGCCGGTATAAGTTGTTTTGCAGATGTACTGTAGGATTCTAATTTTGGCGCTATATAATTACAGTCAATTCTTTCACAAAAGTGAAATCATTCCCACATCCTCTTGTATACTATATCCCCCAAAACAGGATCTAATTTATAATCCGTATCAAAAAGATCAAGAAGATCAGGCAATTCAAGAGATCTGAGGTAATTTGAGAGTCTGGATTATTCACCGAGATTTTCCATCGAGAGCAATCCACAAAGTTACGAAATTAAGATGCCGTTGAAGCTCATTCAAGGTATCTTGAGGGGATCCGAGGCGATCCAAGAAAATCCAAGGAAATTTAACGGGATCCAAAGAAATTCAAGGAAATACAATGAGAGCCGAAGAAATTCGAGAAAATTCAAGGAAATCCACGAAAATCTAAGGAAAACTAAAGCAATCCCAGGAAATCCAACGAAAGTCATAGACATTCACGGAAATCCAAGGAAATCCGACAACATCCAAGGAAATTTGATTAAATCCAAGGAAATTCTAAGTAAATTCAAAGAGTTCCAAGGAAGTCCAAGAAAATCCAAAGCAATCGAAGGAAATCCAACAAAGTCCAAGAAAATGGGACAAAATCCAAGGAAATCTAGGGAAATCTAAGAAAATTCAAGGGAATGCAAGAAAATTCAAGAAAAACCGGGGGAATCTAAGGGAGTCCAAGGGAATCCAAGGAAATCCGAAGAAATTTAAGAAAATCCAAATCCAAGGAAAGTAAGGCAATTATGGGAAATGTGGGGTAATCTAGAAATCTAGGAGTAGATGACGTTAGTAAGGTTATAAACAAAGATGTTAATTGCTGATCAGCTGTTCACTTCAATAGACGACAAAACGTGGTGAAGGAGACCTAAACAGACCTGAAGGGGGATGGCTTTTGTTCCAGTGGACTGTCAAAGGTTAGCCGCACGGTGCTGATGTAATTTGTTTTCATAGTTATAGTCCACAAACTAATGTAATGATTAGATTTTCCATTCCATTTACGATTTATATCTGTTTAGGGTGGATCGACACCAAGGCAGCCACAAATTACGATACCTTTGCATAACAGGCGGTCTGCGCCACCAAATGCATTTGACCTCGCTCAGCTACCCGCTGCCAGAATACATCGACTCACCTCTGGTCAGCCGCTATTAAACCACTCAGCTACAGCTTCTCGGAAGAACTGCTCACGGGCAATATTTTCCGGCAGCTTTGTCAGAAATTATCTCTTTTGCTTCTTTCAGGCTTGAAGGCCGGTTGGAGTATACATTTTCAAAGATCTCGTCGATGCCGTCTCTGGTGGTGCCTGCGTTATTATTTGTTCTCGTCGGACTTGAGACTGAACGGTGGAATTTCCAACATTTCGGGCCGCTTTGTGATTGGGTTTTGTTCGAGTCTTCTGTAATATAGTATACCAAGTTTTGTAAAGGGATAGTCCTTCATCTATTCGGTTGAAATTGTTCTTGTGTACTAATTCGATGTTACCCAGCAATAAAAAAACTTCAATGAGCGGTTTAGTTGCGATTATCTAGAGCGGAAGCGGAGCGTGAGCGGAATCATTCTGGCAGCACGTAGCTGAGCGAGTTATTATGCACTCGTTGGTGCAGATCGTATGGAGCACGGAGGTATCGATTATGGTGTTGAATAGTGGACCAGTATGTTTGCAAAAAAGTGACTAGTGCTAATGACGGACTTCTTGCTCAAGATAGAAGCAGCCTAAGGTTGCCTGGCCACAACACTTTGAAACGCAATCTGCATTTGATGAGGGTGATCTTTATTCTGTTGGGCTACAAACAAGTCTATCATTTTTAGTTCCCTTAATGTTATGGAGTCATACTCACAGCCATTGGAGGACTTGAAGTCTTTAGTATACCTAGTATACTGTCGTTCACTTGTCATGTTCATCAGAAAACGGTCAACCTTCGTAACTATGCAGAAAATATGAGCGTCAAAACCAGGTGTGCTTTCACATTTCACAAGAAAGACCTATTCTCTGTGACCATAAAAACGTATAACATTAGAAGACTACCCAACTTGCTTGAAAAACTGTCAGATATCTATTGGAAAAACAAGTTTATACGATTTTAACTTTAACTTCAGTGTATCTTATTTTAAATCTTAATTTTGAATGTACAAATATATTGTATAATTATCCTATATTGACCAGTTGTGGTTCGCGTCTAACGTTAACATGTCGGTATTGTAAGATTTGAATAGCAACAAAGGTAATTTCAATTGCATTTTAAATTATGAAACTGCATTCATTCATTCAAGGAAATGTATTGATTCGCCCTAAAAAATAACAAGCGTTTCTCTCCTTTCATACTATGTGCTACTAATCTCGTAAAATACCCGTACGAGAATTCAGAAACACCCCCATCTATTCGCACCAAGAGCATAAGCTGATGAGTACATTCATAATTCTTCTTTAACCAAACAATCCGACAGTGGAATCCAGCAAGCGTCGGCAGTTGCAATCCTGCACCAGCAGCAACGACGCTAGTTCTCTAAAGCGTAAACTCTCTATTATTTCAAAATCTGATATGCAAATCCGGCATGGTGGCCAACAGCGCGGCTGTAATTGCGAAGAAATTTACATGTGCGCCACACCGATAACAGAACAGACGGACGCCGGCCAGCTAATTCGGAACAGACGCGTTCGTTTTGTGTCCCTGCCCCTCGCACAACCCATGATCGGACCTCCTGATAGGGTGAAGCAATCCAAAAGCAACATACGCAGCTGTTATTTACCAGTTTTTTACAGGTCGATCTCATCGCATCTGTAAAGGGTGTTCCATTGGAAGAGGGTGTTATACTCAGTGACAGGGTTTATGGAAGTAATGTTCCGTGCTGGTCATCCACTTGATTTTTTTGTACCCTCATGTATCAGACTATATAAACGGAAAAGTGTTGGCTGGAGTACCAACACCCCAAAGGTCATGTTCTTTCTTAGCTACTAGATCGTTCAAGATAACCTGAATGAATTTAAAAAATAGCTAAAGAAATGGCTCCTTTCTATACCCCGAACAGAGATACGTCAAGAAACTGGTTAAAAAAATACTCTGTCATTTCATGCATGGTTTGATTTTTTAACTGTGATTGCGTTACCTGGTTACCTGGTTGTGACTCTTTCAATGAACTGTGATTGCTGTTTACCAAATCGTGGTTGATTTATATTATGGACGTGATATGCATTAATAAGTCTTAGGGTGGATTTCACCAAGGTTGTCAAATTAACAGTCCGTTATTCTCCACCTATAGGGTAACAGTCCGTCAAATACAGCGAATGAGCTTTAACATCCAATCAACAAGTTTCAGCAACCGATACCTATGAAATGTTGAAAACAAAATATTGTCAACCTATGAGATGACAGCTTGTCCTTGAAAAATCACCAGCTTATTAAATATTAAGAAATTACATATAATTCAGTCAAAATTTAAAGAAATGTTCAATTTTTGAATAAAATTCATATTTTAGTTACTATTGTTGATTTTTTATTCATGTTTATATAATTTTCTTCAATTGATTTGGGATTTTACTGATTTAACATCACCTCCCGTGTTTTTTCCCTATAAACCTCTTGCAGATAGCCATTAAACACCTACTTGATGACAGACTCTACCAAACATTTCATACATATTGCTCGTTTCCAAACCTGACACCTTAGATTGATATTCCCACAAAACCATTAAGGTTTTTTGATATCCATACAACCATAAAGTTGAATATTTTTCATTGTTCAGGGACTGAACAAACATCCACACTATATTTACAGCGAATAAGAAATATATGTCGAAAAGCTACCAGCAAACCTAAAACCTGTAAAAAAACTTGAAATTTGCAATATTTTTTTTTTCACGAATACACATTCTAGGTTATATAATTAGACATTATTTGAATAACAGCTGATTATTACATTTCAAAAATCCCCAACGAATGACACAGGTGTGGGATCCGTCAACCCTTGGTCCCAGTCACAAAACATATACACTGAAGAAGGTTTAATTCCATGCTATTCAATGACAACAATGACAACACGGTGACTTGTGTGGTTGTCTGCGGCCATTTTTTGCGGGTGCGACATGGTTGCCAGATTGTGCATTGATATCCTGTTTCACCCCCCTGGTCCCAGTGGAGTACGCTCCGACAACTGTTGAAATATACTCTACTATGCTTTATAAGACTATTCGTGGAATGTTTCCCAAAATCGTTGCAAAACACTTGAAAAAATGTAAACGAAAATTTAAAATTATTTCCAGGAATTTAATTTTATGGAGTATTCATAGTTTTATGCCCCATATCAATCATACAGATACATATGCATAAACATCCTCATCGCTTACTCCGCTTGACGTGAATTGATTTTTGTGCATACAAAAGGTACAGACTGGTAGATTACCGTCATTACCTCGTCACCGTACAAGCGATAAAGGAACCAAAACCTGTCTGTTTTCAAAATAAATATTTAATTAAAATGAGAGGCGAGCGACCAGTATGCACATTGTGGAAGTTGTAATATAGAACTATGCCCTCAAAAAATATGTTGTGTGCGCGCCCAATACAATAACAGACGTTTTTCATGACTCAAAGGTCCTTGATCTACCACTGATCTTGGGACGGCATTTACCTTATACCTAACTCAACGACACTATTTACAGATTCCGTTTTTCCGGTCTGGCAACACTGCAGATCACTTTAAAAGCAATCGATATCCCAGACGTGTTATAATAATAGAAATAATAAGAAAATATAACAATGTTTGCAGATATATTTTCATAAATAGGTATTTTTGATTCTGACTTATAATATCTAGACGATGAATAATAGGTGGATGCGGATACTTTTACAAATATCGATGTTTTAGGACCCAGAAATGCAGAATGCATTTGGTGTGGATTTCCAAATCATAAATTGTCAAAAATTGTTTTTGATGTAACAAAAGATGATGAACCAGTTGGAATACGTTTTATATCCTTTTTTTTTGCAAAATAACAAAAATCGGTTCATTTCTACAGGTACGTATTATGTACAACACCCTGTTCGTGATATACACACAAAACTAGATTGGCATGCATGAACAGTCTTCTAAAACGGTGAAAACATCCTACCAAATATATTAGCTAGAAAATCGACCTATTATTTGCCGCATTCCCATTGGTCCCACTTAAATACTGACCGACTTTTCTGAAATGATAAAAATTTTAAATTCTATGAAAGTTATCCCAATTCTAAAGCATAGAGACATAATATTACATCTATAATGTATCCTTATTTATAAGACAACCGTGTTTTCACGACTTTATTCAACATTTCAATAGAAATCACTGATATTCGGAGAGCTTTGACAGCTTCTGTGAAATTGCATTTCGGTAAGGTCTTTTCCTATTAGTCCAACTGACCGTCAAATATTAATGTTGGTTTAATTGGCCCTTATTCTTATATTTAATTCTACTCAGACATCATCCCTGTGGGACTCCCGTTTATTCGCTTATTTCTTGCTTTCTTAAATATTTTATACTGTAATAAATTGTACGAATAAATTATACTTATACTACTTACACATGATAGAAGTGTTACACCCACAAAAAACAATTTCTTCAACTTGTTTTTTTGGCAACATAATGACTATATTTAAAGTATGCTGTGGCAACAATGTCAATACTTTCTTTGTTTTTGTTTAGCTTTGTTAAAATGTTATCTCTTAGGTTGTGTGAAGAAAGCAGTTTATGAGAGCTGAGTAGTAGAGACATTTTTACTTATTTCCCTTTTATTTACTAGTCTTAAGCATAACAATATGGAGTAGAATTATTGCCTATCGAAATTGGCCGCCGTGTTAATTGTACGGCAATGACGGTAATGCGTGTGTGTAGTGTGTGGATAGAAGACGGTAGATCAACACGAAGAAGGCCAGTTGGTCCACCGAGGCGTACCACAGAGCGTCGATATGTGCGTCAGACAACTAGCCCTACGAGACCGTTTTACTACTAAGCGTCAGATGGCTGACCAATGATTGGGAGAAGAAGGTAGACCTGTTACTATGCGTACACTCTATCGCCGCATTCGAGCATTTGGACTTTTTTCATACCGTCCACGGTGTGTGCTGCGTCTGACTGCGTATCACTGTCATCAACGTTTGAACCTATATGTAATAGGTTTCACTAGATTTTGGCAATTTCTTTATGGCCTCACACCTTTTTAACCACCCATTATACAATATAATTAATATTCCAAAATCTGGTCCGCGCAACCAGCTTATGCTATTAAATCGACTATGTTACAAACAGGAAAAGGAATACAGGACCGAACTAGCTAAAATTTGACAAAACTGTGTTACTCAAAAATTTCACTTTGTATATTGATATTTCTGTACTTCGTTCAGCTATTTGGACAGACCACAA